TCATCCGAACGATTCTTACTACCGTTTTATCAGGGGTATGTAAAGAGAAACAGAACACAGCAATAGCACTGACTTGACAGAGTGGCCAAGAAAGCCAGTGATATCCCGTACTGAGCCCTCATCATCTAATTAAAAACAATTACCGAATTGCGCGCAAATATTCCTGTTTTTTTTCTTTGCGGGGCTGCTTCTCCTGTTGCAGCGGGTAGAGAAATCTTGAATCCCACCCTATCAACGGCAAGTTTCATCACGATTGGAGCAGGCCCAGGTTATCGAAGGCAGTACGCACCAACACTTTCACCTACACCACTTTTCCTAGTCCTAGACAGGGGGTGCGGCGCCCTGCCATTTTACCGATGACGCTTGAACTACTGCTCTACCTTCTACCCGCCACACCCGCAGCCTTCGGAGGCTAGCCGAGTCGGTAGGGATGGCAGTTTGGAGACTTTGCCCGGTTGCTCGGAATGACCATTTACCTTGCTAAACCGTTCGAAATAAGGTTCACTGGCGATACATTCGTCAAGTGTACATTTGACTCCTTCCCCCTGCAGCTCCAGCTAGCGGCCTAGTCGTGAAGCGGGAAAAGCCATCTCTGGGAAAAATCGATGTAATAGTTAGAAGTAGAGCTAATTGAAGCGGCTGAATCCGGTTTAACGAGCTTCTTTTGGGAGGAGAAAACCTATGGCGCAGACTTCATTACTCCTAGTCAAGCCCAATCCACTCTGGCTTGTTAGAGGGTTGATCTCAAAAAGTGGGGAGACCCAAAAGTTCCAGGATCTGCGGCAAGGTGCTCGTAAAAGACTGTGTGGGACTCAGGTAATCGAGGTGTGCCGGACTGCGACGTGTTATTCCGCGCCAAGTTCTCCCTCATCTTTTTCTTGTCTTTCTGAAGCTTCTCCAGCGCTAATAACGCATTCGGAAGACGCAGAAAGGCAAACATGACGTGGCATAAGCGTGTCGTTGTGTAGCTCTCACCCCCCCCCCTCCCTTATGTACCCCTTCTTGAGTTTACCTCGAAATCCAAGGTAAACAATTAGCATACGGTGCACTACTACGTTGTTAAGTAAGTGGGAATTAGTTAACGCTGAGCGATGAGAAGAGAGCAGTTCTTACCTTAACCCCTTTATATGCATCAGTGATCTTATCAGAGAACATTCTTGACGAAACCGAGATGGCTGGATGGCGGCCGAGGGCCTTAAGCGATGAGCGCTGGACCAACGACAACATTCTGAAATGTTCAACTTCATATGAAATCGTCACCAGCAAAAGAAAAGGTAGAAGTTGGCGAAGAAATCCGTCGATCGACGATAAGCATTGCGATTACGGTAGGAAACGAGGAGTTTCTTAAATGACGAGAAGCCAGTGGAAAGCTCTGATGTTTCCCTTTTATTTGCTCGGTCTGATCTTGATTAATATTACATCCACGGTGGACCGACTAATGCATAAAGAATTCGATCTGGTGGAAATTAAAATTGAAGTTCCCTAGTTGATCTTTGTTTCATCCGCATTCCTCTGGCACAAGTCAGCGTCTTCCAAAGTTTATATTAAAGTTCCATTGTTCAATGAGCTCCGAAGGCTCATTTCGCGACTGCAAGGCCTGTGTAAGTCGAGTCGTAATTGGGGGATCCGGTTATGAATTTGTGGGAACAGAAGGAAGCGTCTAAAATTCTTCGATTAAGACCCTTATTTGCAGTAGACTCCGATTGTTGAAAAAGCCTATGAAGAAGCTATAAACAAGACAGTGAACACTTTCGGGAGAGAGATCATACCAAAGGAAGAGAAAACAGAGAGACAAGTTACACAACAGAAGCACAGCTCGCTAGTAGCGTCGATATTTGGGTGGGGCTACCGTTGGTAAGTGGAGTCATCGTAGCGTATGATGGCCCTAGCATCCTTATTACTGATTTTGGAGCTACAAAAGTACTACAACGACCACGGATTGTGTATCTAAAATCGGATCGCGGACAAAGCAGCGCTACAGTGGGCACAGACTTGTAGCTCTAGTGGTGGTGGGAGCAGGGTACAGCAACCACGTAGGGAAAATTAGCGAGTGTCTGACGATCGCTTTAAACATGTCTTTCGTAGTGGTGGTGGGAGCAGGGTACAGCATCAGGGTAGGAGAAATAGCGGTGTAAGACGATCCTTTAAAAATGTCTTCTTTTAGTACGACAACTTTTCCCCCATCCTACCCACCAACTTCCAATTTTCTCCACTTCCAACCACTTTTCCCTGAAAATTTTCAGTCCTAACCGAAAAATTCGTCGTCGAGCCGGCGGAGAGGGAGGAGAAAAGCATAGGGAAGGTATCGACACCGAACCACTGTTAAACACTTTCAACAATTTTAACTGTGAAAAATAGTAGACGTAAGGACATTGGCGGCGGCGCCAACTTTGCCAACTACGGGGGGCGGACCACCGCGATAAGAAAAAACGGATGAATTTCTCGCGGCTAGAAAGAATTTCTGTCAAGACCAAATACAACCTCATCCCTCCCTGAAGAGCAAGGTCGGACCCCTGACGGGATTCTCGCAACGATGCTGTACCCTCGCTGGAAGGTATGCCATGAGAGCAATGTTCACTTTTTTACCCAAAGCACAAATAACATGGAAAAAACTTGTAGACCCTAACTCAAAATGACATGTGGCTCAAGTTACACTACCAGTGATAACTTGACAAGTTCAATTGTTTTTGAAAGCAGTACTTAACAACTGCCATATGTCATATTTGATCACTTGAAAAAGTTTTGAAATGTTCTTTGAGTGCAAATGGTGTCTACGAAGGGTTCAGAAAGCGCAGGATTGTTACTGGTTATGACCCCAGTGAAACTCTTTAACTGTTTGCTAGAAATATTCCACCCTGGACACATCTCATCTACTGCTATTTTTGAGAGAACCAGCAAGAAATTCTCGAAAACTTATCAAAGTGAGGAAGAGGCTACAGCATCGGAGTGGATGAAATGGCTGTGCCAGTACAGCCCCCCTCCTCCTACAACCCCTTACCACCTTACCGAAAACTTCCACTTCTCACTAAGCCATTTTCCCAAGTTTTTTTTTTCTCCAGGGGAGAGCTCGTCACTAATCAAGTGCCGCAGCCAATCAACCGGCAGAAGTACGGAAATA